TTAAAGATATTTTCCTATTGAAGGCACCTATTTAAAATACAGTTATGTATTAAATATGGTCAATAAATATTGATAAGTTAGTGTATGTACTACATATTAGTATACGTATCATATGATTAGGATAAAATATATAAACGATATACATTAATTTAGAAAAAAATCAGCAAGAAATGTATGAAAAATACATAAAATGTATTTTTAACAATTGAAGATAAAATACTATATATATATATATATACTTTCCATAATTTGAACTCAATGATATATAACATATTCAATATATTTTTAAGAAAAAACTTAATGTTTGGTCCTTATAGTTTTATGGTGTTTTGCTTTTAGTCTTTATAATTTGTTTTCATTGTTGTTAATCCCTCTAGTTTCTGCCATCTATAAGGTTAGTTCCTCCTATCATTAACAGCGTTAATTTTGCTAATTAACACCGTTAAATATTACGCTGAGGCATTCAGTTTTGTCCAGTTGGCACATGACTCAACATTTGTTTTGAGTAAAAAATGAAAACAAGAAAGACTAATTACATTGAGCTGGAATAAAAAGAAGAACAAGAGTAATTGACCTCATTCGCATGAAGACAATTAGAGCATTCAACCAATGGACGCCCGTAGTCGAAACTGAATCGGATGCTACAGAGGTCATTAGAAGGAGCCAGAATGTCACCGGAACAGTGAAATTGGGTCTCACTCATTGGCGGATCTCCATATTTCAGCCGTTTTTGTCCTCATTTTCCGCCTCAGTCAAAATCAAACAGAGGTTAAGACTTTTGTATTTTGTTTATAGCATGTTCCCAATTGTAGACGGAGACTATTTTTTCTGGGTGCTTTCTGAATTTCATTCCTACAATCTGATTCTCATTCTCATTCTCCCTTTTCCCATTTATGAAGCCACTTATTTGCATTTCATTTCAATTGTAGTTCAATGTTTGGTGTATCATTGTCTGATTGAGTGGTTATGATCAAATTTACTCCTTTGCCCTGTTTCTATGGTTGCAAATTTTTTTGTCTCTAGTTTTGGAAATGGCTTGTTGGTTTAAGTTTAAATATTGAGGTTTCATAATTTCTTGCAAGGTACAATATAGATATGGAGGATGAGATTTGTCACTAAACTGAAGGGGATGATCTTAATGAAAGACGATAGCACAAAGAGGTCGAAAAGGATAGAAGAACGAGGTAAAAGATGGAACAATTAGGTTGAAGAAGACAATAGTTTGAAATGAGTTCGACGCTACTTAACTACTCAGTTTAGCAGCCTCCCTTGCCCTACTCAATTCGATGCGTCTTCTCCATGTTCTTCATTGCTCGGGTTCAGTCTACTCAATTGCTCTTGTGATTTGCTGTTATGGATCGTCTTCTCCTTTGCCCTAGATGATAGATGAGAGAAACACAAGACTAAATGTAATTAGCCTTTCTTTTTTTTTTGTTTATTTTTTATTCAAAACAAATGCTGGGTCATGTGCCAACTGGATAAAATTGAACACCTCAACATAATATTTAACTGTGTTAATTACACCTCAGGAAAATTAACACCGTCAATGATAGAAGGGACTAACTTTATAGACGGCTGAAACTAGAGAGACTGAAAACAATGAAAACAAACTATGAGAATTAAAAGCAAAACACTATAAAATTGTAGGGACCAAACATTATGGTTTTCCTATTTTTAATGTCTTATAATTCATTCAAGCAATTAAAAAATTAAAATTGAATGTCATATGAAATTGAATAGAGATCCTCAAAAAAATTGGCAGGGTCAAAAGTCCAAAATCAATCGAAATATATGCAAATATTTTGGCAAAAGTCCAAGTCATTAAATAGCGTTGTCCCTTTGCACAGATGGATCAGGACACTTCAAATCAACACCATCCGATATATGGTAAAAAGAATAAAAAAAGAAAATAAAAAGAAGGGCAGACGTTCAAATATTGTATAGTCCTTTTCAACTCAAACTTGATAAACAAAAAAGATAAGAGAAAAAGGGAAAATTATTTTCCGAGCCTTTATAGTTTTCTTCAATTTTGAGTGAGGTATTTATAATTTATTTTGTTTTCATCAAGTCTTTGTAGTTTCATTTATTTGATAGGTTAATCCCAAAAAATTAAAATTATTAATAAATGATTAAATTTCCTAAAACAAAAACCTTTTAAAGTTTATCGAAAATTTTGTTCAATACTTTTGGTCAAAAAGAAAAAAAATTGATTTAATATAATCCTCAAGATCGCATGGTCTCGCACCATGAATTTCAACAGTACTTTTTTTTCCTCCTTTTATATGCTTTAAGCTATTAGTAGCTTTTGTTTAATCAACTCGATTTTTTGGATAGTTTGGTCCACTCAATTTAGCCTCAAAATACTACTCTCACTTAGTTTTATTTAACACAAAGGCGATCTACACTTTCAAGATTATACAACATAAGGTCTTTGTTTTTTATTTTTGGGTCTTTTATTATATTTTTTGATCCCTTTCTATAATTTTTAAGGTCAATTTCTATCACTTATGGTCAACAAATTATCCAGATTAACATTTGTTAACCTTGGGAGTTAAATCAAATTGTATCATTTTTAAAAATTAAAAGGAAAGATTACATCAAAAATGAGTTGAAGTTCCCAAATAATTCTGGACATATAGTTTAGAACTAATTTGCCAGTGGGTGAAAAGGAAAAAATGCCCTAAATTTTTATTTCCGGAGGCACATTGTATTTTAAAATTTTTTTTAAAACAATTTTATCTCAAAATTTTTAAAAAGGAAGCAATTTTATCCCATTATTAAATATTGAGTTAATTGACCGTGAAATGAGATTTTTACCCAAAGAAAAAGTGACATGACATATTGACTGGACTTCTTCTCTTCCTCTCTTTCCCCCTGTTTCATTGGCAAAATTTAGAAATCTCAAATGCATGTGTTAAATGCTTTAACGGATGCTTGTAAATTTTATTTCGTTTTTAGGAATAAATAGTTTATGAATTTACGCTAGAGAATAATTTTACTGCAAATAAATATGTGAACCATAATATTGTGCCAGCCATTTTAAGGGTTTATAAGACAGCAACTAAATATTATTTTATTCCGTTTAATTAGGATATATTCACTTTCTAAATTTTGCCAATATCTTATAGCAACATATTGCCTCAATGGAGAAATCTAGAGCCTTGCATAATGGTTTATGCAACAGTCACTAGTTATTCTTTTATTATGGCATACAAGTGGTGAATATTTTATAATTTTTGGTTCAAGTTCAACTTGCCTTACATTATCATTTAATTTTGAAATTTGATTTTTTTTTAAACAAACATCAGACTGGTCCAATTGGCTAGCTCAACCTGTCCTAATGAAGGTTTCTAATTCAACCCTCTAAACGATTTTTTTTTTTTTCCTCTTAAGAAAACCAAACCATCATGCTATCCGGTTGACAATTCAACTAGTCGAATCATCAGGTCCAGTCTTAGTTTTTAAAATACTGTCATCACGTGCTAATTGGAGGAAGATGCCATGGAAGCACATGATGATGATGGACATTTCTAGAATGAATTAAGGAGGACATGAAGATCAAGGAGGAGGAGAAGGTGGTGAAGATAAGTAGTGAGAAAGGGAGGAGGGGACAGTGATGGAGCCAAGATCTTATTGCAAGGAGTGTAGATTAATTTTAGAAATAATAATTTAATATTTTTTAAAAATAATCATATATTTTATAATTATCCCTACTTATTTCCAAATGCTATTAAAAATATTTTCTTCCACATAAGTCTCTAATTTATGGTATTATTTACGTATAAAAAATTTATAAATATATAATAATTAACCAGATACTTAAAAAATAAAATAAATAAATATATTCTTTTTTAAAACTCATATTAGAGTTTTGGATTTAGTTGTTCAAAACTGGGTTTAAATTAAAACATTCACAAAAAAAAAAAGAGTCTAGATTGCAATGGGTGCAAAAATTTGAGACTAAAAAGCATAAAATAGCAAATTCTATACTAATTACTTGTAATTTCTTTTAAATTGAGGAGATAAATATGGCCCTTCTTAAATATACGTGGCTCCGCCACTTGGAGGAGGTGGCAGCAAAAGTGGAGAGAGGATGAAAGGAAAGAAAGTTATGGAGGCTGTTCAAAATTCCATTGACGATTGACAATTTTGATTAAGATCAGAGCGAGGATTGTATTGAAGACATTGATTTGTGTTTTTTGATGGTAGGGGCAGTGGGTTCGATTGCATTTGTTGGATATCTCTTCGATTTTAATTTTGCTGTTTCTAGTGTTCTCTCGATTATCTCCTGCAGCAGATTATTGTTGGCTAGTGTTCAAAATGTTTGTTTAATTCATCATTAGCTTGTTCACAAAGATGAGAGTAAAGGTGAAGAGTCGAAGACAAAGCCACAGCCACAGTGATGGAACGACACTGAACCTCGAGACAAAGCCACAGTCATGGATGATAGTTTAAGGATAAAAAATGAACTTTAATTCTTCAATTTTATAACAACTTATTTTCAGCATATTCCTTCCATCCTTATAAATAAAATATTTTTAAAAAATTTAGTTTGTCTTTAAATATAAGAAATGTCATGATTCTTTTTGCATAATTATATAATTTTTCCCTTGTCTCTGAATATAAGGAATTATAATTATATTAGTTACATATTTTATTATCCATCACTATGATATTAATTATGATATTATTAATAATATATCTAAAAAAATTATGATTTTATATAATTTTAATTAAATAATAAATTTTTATTGATATATAAATTCAATTAATAATATCTCATTTATAAGGATGGAGAGAATAAATGAACAACATTAAAAACACCTTGCATTAATCACCTTGACAAGTTTTTGGTACGGTCAGAAGGAAGGACCGATTGGAAATAAAAAGGAGGAGGGGGATTAAAAAAAAAAAAGGAGGAAGAACCGATGGCATTGCCTTCACCAACCACCCCAACCCAAAAAAGACCAAAGAAAAAAAAGGAAAAAGAAAAAGAAAAATCGAAGCTGTGTCCTTCAGCGACTTTGAGACAGAACATACCATACAGTACATATGCCACTTGGCGATTTCTCGATATATTATACCCACACGCACCTACTTCTCCTTCTAACTTCTCTTGGTTTCTCCATCGACAAATTCGAAAACCCATCTCCAATTCCGGTCCACGAATGGCAGGTAACAGCGGAGCCTACTTCCAATATCGGTTTAAATTTGGGTTTTATGGGGTCGTAGTTGGAATGATAGAGTTTGACTGTAATGAAGATGCCGATGAATTTATTGTGCTCGTTGACGTGATTTCTTTATTGGATTGTTTTCGGTTGCAACATCCAATCTTTGAGTCATTAGCGTTTGCGTGTTTGTTAGTTATACATACTCTTACAATTTGGACTTCAGCTCAAGTGTTTCTGGTAAAACGATAAATGGATGTTGAATAAAGCTTTCAAGACTACTATCTTTCGTAAAACTCAGGTTGGGTTAGGTGGGCTGTCAGCTGAATTAGCTGTTCTTATTTCAATAATGAAGTAACATTGGATGAGGGATTTGATAAACATTGATGGAAGAATAGTTGACATGGGGCCGTGGGTGTTGCTGAAAGATTCATGAAAATTCCAATCTTATATGGCTTACTTGTGTGTGAAAAGCCATTAGCAACTTGACATCAGTGTCTAATCTAACCCACGTGGCAAAAAAAATAAAAAGTTAATCTGAAGGGATATTAGAACTAAGAAAAGGCTTTTGATTAAGCTTTTATGAATCTAGAATTGGAATCTGATAAAATGGTAAATGTTTATGCAGCGAAGATTGTCCAAAATGTTTTTGTATCACAATGCTACCAACAGAATAGGCAGTCCAGCACCCACAGTCGAAGGGACTATTTTGCCCCTTATTACACCTTGCTTCCCTCCCGAGAAGGGAAGTTGGCATGGAGTGGCATCTCTTCCATGCAATTGCGTACATTGACAAAACATCAGAGTGATTTTATTACCCAGACAAATATTCACTGCAATGGTCTGTTCTAGACTCTCATTATACAGGTTGCTATCAAGTGCAAAACTATATGTTTCTAACACATAAATTACATCTCCTTCTCTTCATCTGTCCCTATTCATCTCGTCACCTTTTTTTTTTTTATTGTTATGCATCTACATTTGTTCCGTGAATGGGTGTACATTGTCCTTTCTGTTTTAATGGAATTGACTGTATCATACACCATCTGACATGTTTATCTTATCTACTTCTGAATGGATATTTGTTTCTTCCATTTGGTCCTTTTTTGCAGCTTCTGCCTATACTTCTGCAGTGCCATTTCTAGACAAAGTTGATTTTCTAAAGCTTCAAAATGGAAGGTCAGGAAAATTCCACTAAGATTTTTTTCCCCTTAATTAAAGTTTGTGCTGTTATGACCTCTATGAAGATTATTGGTTCTGATTTATTTCATCTTGTATTTTTTTTCTACCTTTTATTTAATTTGTATGTAGCCGCCCACCTAGTAGGATGGGGCTTGTTGTTATTGTCTTATTGAATTTCTGGCATAATGTAGTGGTGAGGCAGTACATTTTTACTGGCAAGGTAATGCTATATGGATGGAGTTATATTCATGATATAAGTATCATTTTGGTGATTATGCATCTAATTTATAATTAGGATAACTTCAAATTTAATTAGGGATTTCAATGGAGGCTTTGTTAGGAATAGGATTTCTTTTCTTAGATTGCCTATAAATTCGCTGCTTATAGTACCGATTGAAACTCACATTGATTATTATTGATAAATTGATACATTGAATTTTAATTTTAATTTTTTTGGGGTGTGATTCCTTTATCCTGTTCCTGTCCTACATCAGAAGCTTCTATCTGCAGACTTATGTTGTTATATATGATACAAAATTAAACAGTGACATACGTGGTGTGGCTATTGATGGCATTGAGGGAGAACCAGTTAACCTCACTGAACCTGTTGCTGAAGCAATAGGAGCAGCCTTTGCTGGATGGTTAGTGGAGAAAAAGAAAGCAGATCCCTCTAAGCACTGGAGAGTTTCTGTTGGCCATGATTCCCGAATATCTGCAAAATCCTTACAGGTCTACATTTGTTCCTTGTGTCCTTTGGTGGTTTTGGTTTATCTTGTCAATTGGTGTCTTTTAAGGCTTTGATGATTGTATTAAATTTGAAATATTCACCTAATAATTTAAGATGATTCTGTAGAAGCTTACTTTCTCAATCAAATAAACACACACACACACACACACACATGGGGAAGCTCACCATCTCAATTGAAATTAGTGGGTTAGATTTTTTTTTTTTTTTTCAAGGTTCCTATCATCACAAACATTCTTTGAGTAGTCTGCATATGAGAGAAAATATTCATTTTAACTTTATTTTGCATGATTTTTGTATTTTGAAGAGAATAGAATTGTGCTTTTGGAAGAGACCTTTCTTAACAACCTCAAGCAGAAGGTTGTGTTTGTAAATAGCTTACCATATTATAATATATCTTGTTACTGACTCATTGGTGATCAACTTTCCATATTTCAGAATGCGATCTGTCGAGGTCTGGTTGGCGCTGGCCTAGAAGTTGTCCAGTATGGGTCGGTGATATCTATTTTTTTTAAAATCAAGTACTCGTGTTCATTAATTTCACTCGTGGATTGGTGAAGTCATCTGATTTTGAACAACACTGCTTGTGGATTTACAAAGATGCTGGAAATCTCTGTTGTCTTTACTATTAAATTCTTGGTTTTGGAACCCATGGCTCATACACATCCAAAGCAGCCTCCTTTCTTTCCTCTATAAATATACTCTCAAAGACAAAAGCAGAAATTATCTACAACATAAACTACTAAAAATTTAGATAAGAGATAACTCTAGGGCTTCTTGACAATAATATAGTCCAAGATTACTCAGTCATAATTGAAGCAGGGTCACTCTGCTAATACTGGTTAGTTTTGGAGTAGCTTTTATAATTAGTGGATGAGACTGGTATTCTGCTATTATTGATTAATTTTTGAGTGTTTTCTTAATGGAAACTTTATTGAGCTACTTTTGCTTGTGATTATAAAAAATGCTGAAGTTTTAATAATTTCCATACTGATCTCTCATTGAAAGCCATTTGAAGTGGAGCCATTTTTGTGCTTGACCAGATTTATTCAGTGCTTCTCAGTCTCAGACATAATCTGGCTAACTTATTTATGCTTCAATGAATGACCTTTTCATTGAATATATTCTCACCATGGATACTGTTATTATTTTCATCTGATGTTATTGATGGCCCAATGAATTATATTTTATTTTTCTACTCCTTGTAGGTTAGCATCTACACCAGCCATGTTTAATAGCACTCTCACGAAGGATGAGGCAGTTTTTGGTCCTGTTGATGGATCCATTATGATAACAGGTAAATTTTGATTCCACTAATTAAATGACTCTTCTTCAACCTTTAAAACTTTGGACAAAAATGGAAATGCTGTTCTTTTGTCTAGGAACCATCAAACCCAACAGTTTGAGGAGTTAGATAGAATCACGGGAATGACATTTTACCTTTAACATGTCCTGTTGCTTGAAATCGTTTGGCTTGAACTATGGAGATACACAGCCATCAGCATCTACCTTTCTGTTGAAATTTTCAACGGTTATAAGCAAGGATCTCACTTAAAAAAGAAAAGTAAAAGAAGAGTCTAAGGCTTTTAAAAATTGAAAAACTTTTAATTTATAACAAAAACTTAAGCTGTTAGGTTGAATATTTTAATTTAAATTTTGTAAGCATGATTGACCCTTTCCTGTTAACTACTTTATGTGTGTGGTGCAAATGACATTCTTAAGTAAATTTCTGTCTGGATGGTGCTAACTAAAGTTTCATGTATACGTCACCTTTTAATATTATTTCAGCCACTAATTATTACATTTGCCTGTTCATGAACAGCAAGTCATCTGCCTTTCAACAGGAATGGATTTAAATTTTTCACAAATGCTGGTGGGCTTGGGAAGGCTGACATTAGAGACATCTTAGAACGAGCTGCAGACATATACAAACAATTTACAGAGGAGAGTTTGATGAATACGGATAGAAAAGCTTCAAAATCCATTAAGAAAGCTGATTACATGGCAGTGTATGCATCTGATTTGGTGAAGGCAGTTCGTAAAGCGGCTGGAAATATAGGTATGACTTCCCTGAAACATTGTATGAAAGTTAGTATATTGAGGAGATATAGATATTAACTTCTTAAATGAAGTCGAGATAAGAAAGAGACACCTTTCCTTTACGGAATCCTTATATTGTATTGTAACTACTTTTCTGGTTTGCTAATTTTCTCTCTCTTCCTGTATTGTTCACTAATTTTTGTGTGATACTGTCAATCCACAGAGAAGCCATTGGAGGGATTCCACATTGTTGTGGATGCAGGCAATGGAGCAGGAGGATTTTTCACGGTAAATGGTCTTTATTATCTCCTTGGTTTTTGCCAAATTATATGTTGAGTATTTAAGCATTTATGTTAGAAAGATCCATCAAAAAGAATTCGCAAACCAAAGGAACAAATTATATACTCATTAAACCATTAAGAAACATATGGTTTTCAATGGGCAAATTGTTAGTGTTTAGACGTGCCTCTGACATGCACACGTGATTTTGTTGAAATCTGATGGTAAGAAGATGCAGGGTGGATGTTGGATTACAAAAATCATTGCTATAGCAAAGCACTGATTGCCTTACTCTTAAGCCTCATATTGGCTAAGTGACAACAGAAGAAACAATAGGAGGTTTAAAAGCAACCACAACAGACCTAATTTTACTAAATGAAAGCGGTTATATGGATTACATGGTGTGATTGTGCTCTATCAACAACCATCTCTTCAGATATAGCATTCACTGAGAGATCTGGTTTTATGAATTATTTTAGTATTCTTTTTTAGCTGAATTTGGTTTCCCCCATAACATCATAAGACAGTTTCAGTTAATTATTCTACGTTTGATTTTAGCCTTCAACAGACTCATATGAATGCTATTAATTGAAATTGATTCTAACCAAGTAATCTCTAAGGCATCAATTAATGGGTCAGGATATTAATTATTTCTGAACCTGTGGTCAACTCAAATCCACTGTCCACACATAACATGTCCCGGTCAAATTACATACAGACAGACCCTTTACATAAGAATATCAACCTTCATTCCTCAGTCGTCAACAACAATTTGGCTATTTCTCATGCTGGATCGGGTCCTTCAGTGACAATATGTTAATTTACTTGACACTCGACATATGATTAGTTTGGTTTAGGAATTATATGTGTTTAATGTGACTAGGAAATTAAATAATACCTCATTTTTAGGCATTTGTTTCTCCAAGTTTCTATAAATACCTATGTGTTTGGACTAATTTTTGGTCTGAATGGCTCTTGACTTTTCAATATAATAAGAAATTCAGACATTTCATCAATGATTAATCAGGCAAAAGTTCTGGAACCGCTGGGTGCAATTACTACAGGAAGTCAATTTTTGGAGCCAGATGGTAATATCTATCTCCAGGGGATTGATTTGAGCTGGGTATTGTAATCAGAATTTAACTCAATGTTTTGTGTTCAGGCATGTTTCCAAATCATATCCCTAATCCAGAAGATAAGACAGCAATGAAAGCTATAACACAGGCAGTTCTAGATAACAAAGCTGATCTTGGAATTATCTTTGATACTGATGTTGACAGGTAAATAATTTTCTTGTTTATTTCATTAATGTGCTTATTATTTAAAAAAATAAAAATGATAATCTATCACTTTCATCTAGATCTGCTGCTGTGGACTCCTTTGGCCGGGAAATCAACCGGAATCGCTTGATTGCTTTAATGTCAGCTATTGTTCTGGAGGAAGTAAAACCTTTTTCCTTAGCTATCTCTGCCCCAATATTTGTAACCTAAGACTTGTGCAAATTTTTTGGCTGACTTAATTTTTTTTCCTTTTATCATTTTCCTTAGCATCCTGGAACAACAATTGTCACAGACAGTGTGACTTCTGATGGCCTCACCTCATTTATTGAGAAGAAACTTGGTATGAAGGAATTTAATTTGGGCATAATCTACAGGCATTGACATCCCTCCCCTGGGTGTTAGACTAATTTGGACCTTTTCTTCGTTAGTTTCATTTCAAAGTACTTTTAAACTTAGAGAATAAATAATCCAAACCTGTGTCTTGCTTCAATTTGAATTTCAAAGTACTTTTGCCCTGAACTGGTGTCAGTAACATGCTAGCTTCACTTTCTTTTAAGGTGGGAAACACCATCGGTTCAAGAGGGGCTACAAAAATGTGATTGATGAAGCTATTCGACTGGTGAGATGAGCAGTTCTCTATCATAGCTTTTCCATATGGATGACTTTTGACATCTGAGGATTGGAGTGGAATACTTCATTGTTTGACATTTGAACCTCATAAATTTTAATTGAATTTATTCAACAATGAATTCTAGTACGCATCCCATTCAGTTATTGCTGCTCATTGACAAGTAAATAAAATGGTAACTGAAATTATGCACAAGAAGAAACTTATATTCTTTGTATTCCACTTTTTAAAAAAAAAAAAAATTACCTACTTTGAACATGTAATTTCCATGTTAGAAGCTAGATACGTGGCTAATGAAGCAATATTGTGACAGAATTCGGTTGGTGAGGAGTCACATCTGGCAATTGAAACCAGTGGACATGGAGCTCTCAAGGAGAATCACTGGCTTGATGACGGTGCATACCTAATGGTAGGCTTTTATTAAAACTATGTCATCTAGTCAATCATTGACTAGTGTGTACGCTGTCATTTTGGTCCTCAAAAGTATATTAATTTACCTCCATTCTTATTCCATATATCTTTTGTACATTCAGCATGTAAGGTTCAAATTGAAGAGAATGAAAGTATCTGAACACTTGATCAATTACAATAGCAGATCACAGACTAAGTCAGGAAAATATGTCTTGTGAGAACAGAAATGACAGTGGGTTATGTAACCTATGCAGGTCAAGATCTTAAACAAACTTGCCTCAGCAAGAGCTTCAGGAAGGGGTGGAGGAAGCAAGGTTTTGACTGATTTAATAGAAGGACTCCAGGAACCAGCTTTCGCTGTGGAACTGAGACTAAAGATCAACCAAAATCATCCAGATCTGAAGGGAGGGTAAGCTGCCGTATATAGTCTCTGCTAGCATGCTCCTGTACTTTAATTTTGTGAACTCACTTACAATCTGAGAGCTTTCAGATCTTTTCGGGATTATGGAGAAGCTGTGCTGAAGCACTTGGAAAACTCAATTAACGCAGATCCAAAGCTACAAAAGGCACCCGTAAACTATGAAGGGGTATGCTAAACCTTATCCTTAGATAGATGTGAATCCGTTAGCATTAATTAAAATGATTTTTGCCGGGTTTATTAAAGCATTTATGAAGAAGACATCTCAACTTTGAAATGGAAAGCCATGAAATACAAATCTAGTGTGGGAAAAGCCTTCCTACTCTAGTTGGTTTATGTATTTCTGTCATGCTTCCAATATAATTTATTCTTTTTTCCCCTCATTCTGGTTATGAATTAGGTCCGAGTTTCCGGCTATGGTGGATGGTTCCTTCTCAGACTCTCCCTCCATGATCCTGTCCTTCCCCTTAATATTGAGGTAAAAGGCCATTTAGCCTTTGCATAAGCTGTCATGCACAATACTGAAACATTGCAGCTACTTTAGCATGATTATTATTCCTAATTTCTAGGCACCAAGCCATGATGATGCTGTAAAGCTTGGACTTGCTGTGGCTGCAGCTGTAAAGGAGTTTGCAGGCTTAGACACATCTGCTCTGGACAAATTTGCAGGAATATCATAGTTTTGGCGCTTCAATTCTTGCTAGACTTGTAAGTTTGGTGCTGGAAATGTTTTTGCTTCTTGTATACCTTCATCGGCTGCATTATATATACTCAACAGGGGATCTTTGGTCCTCATATCAGCTTGAACTGTGAGTGAATGAGAAGGTAGAGAGAGCATTTGGAGGAATCTCATCTTGACACTGATGCAATGTTTAGTTGGTGGAAAATTGTTTTCTAGGAAGAAAATGAGAAATTTATCTATCCCAGATATTTCTCTCATTTATTTTATAAAAAGCACTTTTCCAGTTACCAGACATGCTATTAGGGTTATCCAGCGTACGCACAGTGGTCCAAACCTAATAGTAATCTTAGAGGTGGATGATGGAATTTTACTGAATTCAGTTTTAATTTCATTTTGTATGGCCACCATGGTGCCCTCTTTTTTGCCCCTCCTTTGTTGTAGTTTGGAATGTTCTCGGATTTGTTTAACATGAATTTTAGAACATTTAAAAGTTAAGTTGTTCGGTGGGATATTATTTAATCTAATGAAATGAATTGTGCTCGTTTTGCTAAAAACTTGTCTGTACAGGCCCTCGTTTGTGTTTTGTTTTAATGCTCAACTATGGGTAATCCAAGCTATTTCAGTCTATTATTATTATGGCATTTGTGATATGACCTGATTTATTTGTTTTTTTCTTCGGTTTTTTGTGACTCAAGGAAAAGAAAGAGTCTTTGAGGGCAATTGTTATAGGGATTTGAAGTTTAGAATTGGGTTAAGATACAAAATTACTCTTGAAGTTTTCAGCCAGGTGCACCTCACGTCCTAAAATATTTTTTGGTACAATTTTGCCCCCACGTTTTTTTATTTAGGTACAATGTCGCTCAGCCATTACCCTTTGACTGGTTTGACCATTTTCTGCCATTGATTGCCACCTCATGTCTTTTTTTTCTTGGCCAAATCGTCCCCTTCTCCATCACTCTTTCCCTCTCTCTCTCTTCCCTCTCCGCTATTGTTGGCCATCAAATTTGATCAGATCCCACCCAAACATACTTTCAATTTCTCTTGCAAATATTTATATTTGGGACACTATATTGCTCTCCCATCAAACTTGAAAATCACAAAATAAGCATATTGTTGGAATCGATTCCATTCAGCCGTAAAGAAGCAGAAGACGCATTTGAAGCAGACTCTTCCTCTCTAACCTTCTACTTACCGGCTATTCAGCTCAATGGGATTGTTCATATTCTAAAGAAAACTAAATGCCTGTTTCTTCATCATCATCATTGATGAAGACCATTCTTCCTAGTTAATGATTACAAATCAGGAACAAGAGATCTAAAACTAAATCATCAGTATTGATTATCAAACTTGAACAAGAATGAAAGCGATGCTTACAGAATCAAATTAAAACAAACATTATCAGCCTAAAGTATCAGATTAGACAAACACATACACATACAGCCTAAGAACAATTACTCAATACAGAAATCCACACTCAAGAATTTCTTTTCCATTAAATGGAAAAATGTTTACTCTCTTTTTCGTAACTCTTAACAACTCATTCATTCACTTCCCTGCAATAACAAGCATAAAAAAATCGAAGCAAGTACGTGACCTCAAAAGCCACCTAACTAGGAAATAGATGGAGGTGAGAAGCTCAAGCTAATGGCAGCAATGGGACAAGCAAGCTGGATGCACGTTGACCCAGGAGATGCAGTTGATGGAAGCTTCTAAGACCTAGAAGACCCAAACAAAATCCCTCGCTTTCCTCCCTCTTTGAAACCCATCGTCGTTAAAACCTCGGCTTGACCACCAGAGAGATGAAACCCCTTATGTTGATTCTCTTTCTCATATTCTCTTTTAGTCAAGCATTCTTTCATATTGATCTCGACCTTGGCTCAGCGCATCATCTCTACCGTACTGACTGGTCATTGGTGAAGCTCATCTCGACCTCGACTGCTATGGCTACAACAACCTCAATGCCACTGCCGTCGTTGAAGATTGAAAGTGATGAAAGATTGAAGAGGAAGAAGATCATCAACCCACGTATTAGTTTTTTATTTTTGATCATGGTCAAAGTCTAGATATGTTATTCAAGGACATCATTGTACCTAAATAAAAATTGTTGGGGTGAAACTGCTCTAGAAAATATTTTAGAATATAAGGTGTACCTAACTGAAAATTTCTTGAGCAGTTTTGTCTCTTATCCCTTCAGAAGTCAAAAAAGCAACTACTTAATCAGGGTTTATGTGATTTGGTTTCATGAATACTTAAGGGCACATTTGTTTACACTTTTTTTTCATGAAAGATTTAGTTATTTAAAAAAAACCATTTTAAAAAAAATCCATATTTATTAATTTTTCTGGAAATTATCGATATACCAGAAAAAATATTGAAGTAGCTTTTGAAAATAAATTGATACAATAGATGAGAGTGATAATGTTAAAATAAATAAAAATACGATGATATACAAAGATGGGAGACTAAACAAAAAATTCCCATGAAATATGGGAATTCCAGATTAGGACCATGAAATGGCTTAATCCTTTTCAAGTCCGAAGTACTTCTATGAAATTAAACATTTTCATGAAATTACCTAATTAAGTTTTTATATTAATTGAAAAAACCAATCAAAACCTAACCGAACTTGTTCGCTTGGGTTTTTTAAATTTATGCAAAAGGTTAGTTATGTAATTTCATTATGAAAATGTTTAATTTTATAAAAGTCCCCTGGGACTTCAAAGGGATTAGGCTATTTCATGATCCTAATCATGGATTCCCATATTTCATGGGGACATTTTTTGTTATTCTCCCTACAAAGACGTTAATAAAATTTGAAAAAATTTATCACTTCTACAAGTGAAAAATACATGCTGGTGCATATAATCAAATTGTAAAAAGTTCTTCCAATTAAGTGCTTTTCTTTAGGCATTAATTAGTTAAAATAAATTGCCCCTTCTCAAACTCCTGCAACTGGAAAATATTTTTTTTCTTTTGCCAAAAAAAATACATACTCTATTACGTCATTTACTTGTAGCAATGGCAAAACGTTATCACTTATCAATATCATGATGGGTTAAATTTGAATTATTGGTGCGTTTTATCATTATTTTGAGGGAGTACTGATAGGGGTAGTTTTGGAAAAAATAGTAAACATGAGAGAGAAATTGAGTTGAGATCTTACATTTAGAATCAAAGTAAATCGTACCCTAAAGTAGCGATTACATTCAACGCGGAGTAACATAGCATTTGGTGCTAATTAAACTAAATTAACTAAACTCAGAATTTTACACAACTATCTAATTAAACTAATCGCAGCAATAATCTTTGAGGATCAATCAAAGTCTTCCCAATTGAAGGTTTAAGAACAACGATATATGATAGTGAATATTGAATTTTATAAGAACAATTAAAAATAAAATTAAAGTAATAAAGATGAATATGGTGATATGGATGAGTTCACATGCATGCTAGAAGAGATAAGATTCATAATAGGCATTAGGACGAACATGGGCTGGGTATCACCCAACTTGATATGTTTTGGGTTGCCCTAGTGCCTAATTATTCAGGCCGGGTTTTGCCCAACATGAAATTCTCCTAAAAATTATTTTAAAAAATAATAAAAGAAACTTTCCTTTAAGATACATTTTATACAAAACTAATTCGAGAATGAAAAGTAACGATTTTTAAAATTCTATATATTTAAAAATTATTCATTTTTTTATATATTCCTATGTTTAAATATATTTTAAAATATTAAAAATGATTAAAAATTAAAATCATAAAAAAATATCAATGATAGTCATAAAAACAAGAGATGTAAACTGAAACATGTTTAAAAAATGACATTATAAAAAAAAATTTTAACAATTTAAAAAAAAATAGATATGCTCGAGCAGGGGTCAATGCCCAATTCAATGAGCCTTAATATCTGGGTTGGGCTGAGCATATTGGGCTATTGAAGCTCTTGCATGGCCGAAATATGCATTGAGAATAAAATGGTATAAAAATTATTTAAACTGATTTGAACATGTTTAAAAAAGGTTATAGGTGGTGCTACTGATGAAGAGGGTGAAACAAATTAAATAATATTAAGTCATGTGAAAAGATGTAAAAAAAGGTAAAAGAAGACCAAATAAAACATTTGTAAACTTATTGAATGAGGACTTTTTGTTAACAGTATATCGAAGAATTTAGTATGCAGCCAATCTCATCTAATGAAAAAAAGTTGGTTGTTGTCGATGGGGTGTGTGTGAGCTCGAAAGAAGCTATGACGACTTGACGAGGGCCACGACGACAATAATAAAGAGACCCTTCCTCCAAGCATATAATAATCACAGGTCGAGAATTTATTATATTCTCATTAATACAAGTTCACACGTAGGGCAAACCTGTTGAGACTGAAGATGAGTCTCATTACATATATTTTATTGCTTTATTCGAAGGTAGAGGAATATGAAAACATAATTATTAATTAAGGGCACAAGACAACCCTATCGTTGGTTCCTCCTTGGCAACTACTCCCTTCATTTCTATATATATAAGGGAAAAAAATTATATTACACATTTTAAAAAAATTAATTAACTATAATAATTATATCTAAAAATAAAAAAATTGAACTAAAATATCCTATGTATTCAATATAAGTATGCATTAATTATATTTTGTTAATATAAATTATGAAAGGCAATTTAAAATATGTGTAATTAATGTTTATTGAAGTATGTGATTTAATTTATATAAAAGAATAAGTAAAAGATGATATTTTCTTATAAATAAAAAGAGAGTAATATAAGTTTTAGTATTGTCCTCAGGATAAAGGTAAGCATCAGGACACTTATCGAAATAACACCGGAGACCACGACAATTTGAGGTGGGTCGAACTCCATCGGAACATTAAAACCATCGACCACTGAGATATCATAGAAGTCCAAATTATTCCATGTGCTGAGAGAAAATTCTGCCAGAGTCGCCGGAGGTTGGCCGGAGACTTGGCAGTAAAGCTGACCGCCACAATCACCAGTTTGGCAATGACCACGGCCCGACCCGTCGAAGTTGCAGTTGGTTCGACCCCAAAAGCGAGCACCGCCGGTTCCTGAGGCCATGCCAAAGCCCCAAGTCTGGCCCGGGGCCGCCCACACCGGGTAGCGGCATCTGTTTGTGACGTCAAACCATGCGGCCTGTGTGAAAATGACGATGTTGAGAGCTAAAAGGAAAGACAACACAAAGAGAGGCTTTTGATGATAGCCATTTTTTAAAAAATTTGAGCTAGGTTTTATGTTGATCACTACAATCTTTGAATATAAGTATGCGTTTGAAAATTTCTCAATCTTCTAAAAAATCATCCATTCCAAAAGTTTGCACACATGTGTAATATGTAGATATTCAATATCTTTCTCATTTGTAGTCTCAATATGATACCCATTTTAGTGGATATCTTTAAAATTTAATAAATTTCTTTGAGACTTAGATGAATATAATGCGTCATCTATAATAATTTTTGTTCCTTTGGGTAATATTATAATTGTTCTTCCGGAGCTATCAATTAATTTAGTATTACCCGCTATGATATTA